AAATAAAAAATAATAAAAAATAAAAATAAAAAGACCTTTCTTGGGGCCGGGGATCTCGCTCAGTGGCACTGCGCCTGCCTTCCAAGTGCAAGGTCCTGAGTTCGATCCCTGGTACCAAAAAATAATAATAATTTTTAAAAAAGGACTTTTCTCTTTTTGTAAAACATACTAAAGAATTTATATGAAAATATGAAAGTGATTCTGGTTGGTGACATCCACAGGTTCCTGAAAAAGGCAAACAAAATTTAAAAACTCACAAACAAGAAAATGATACTGTAATAAATGTTAAAAAAAAAAAAAGGACAAATAGGTCCCCAAAGACATGTTGGAATTGTCAGATATCCCCCCCAAAATAAGCACATTTTAAAGAAATAATTGAGAAGGATAAAAATGTGGTAAGGAACAAAATTATTAAAAACAGCAAGGTTGGGCCGGGGATTTAGCTTAGTGGTTCCGTCGCCTGCCTCGCAAGCACAAGGACCTGAGTTCGATCCCCCATACCAAAAAAAAAAAAAAAATAGCAAGGTAACTTTGAAAAAGAAACATCCAGAACTTTAAAAACTAAATAATATAAAATAATATTAAACAATATAATACAATTCAAATTCATTTAAATTGTTTATCTTTAATAAAATTATTTTTAAAGTAAACTAAGAAAGTATATGAGGAAAAAATTCACTAAACAGTTTAGATAGATGATTAAATAAGCTAAAGAAAGAATCAGTGAAAAAGAAAATCAATCTGAGGAAATTTGGCCGTAATATAGCACAGAGAGTCAAAGAGATAGAGAAGAGAGGTAAAGATTCATTGAGGATAAAGAAAATGGCCAAATGTGGGTAACTGGCTTCCAGATGAGGCTGCAGACTCAATAAAGACCACAGGGAGAAGTAATATTTTAAGAGATAATGGCAGAGAAATTTAAAGAATTATTGAAACCTATGCATTATCTGATTATTAGAATCTTAAATTCCAAGATAGAAGAAAAAGAAAAAGAAAAAAAGACAGATAAGTATGGAGCACTGTGGCAAACACAAAAGTTGAAATGAAGACTCTTTTTTGCGGGGGTGGGGGGGGGTAGTTGAGAAAAGGGTCTTGCTATGTAGCCCAGGCTGGGCTTGAACTCACGGCAATCCTCATGCCTCAACCTCAGTGCTGGGATTACAGGCGTGCACAACCGCGCCTGGCAAAGTAAAGATTCTTGCAGTTAGTAAAGAGAAAAGACATCTTAACCGCCACAACAGAAGCCAAAAGACAATGGAATAACATTTTTTGCAGTGCCAAAAAAAGCAGCTATAATTATATACCCAGAACGACTGTTAAAGTAAGGGTAAAAAAGGCTATGTCAGGTAAAGACTAAGAGAGCTTACTGTCTACCAAAGATCCCCAACTAGGTCCCAAAGATTGTTCTTAGGAAGGAAGCACAAAGTGGTAAGAAGGCTTACTGAGAACTGGCAGGCATGGGCATAAAGCTGAACAGTTTACCAAATACAGGGTGACAGGTCTCCCACCACCTCAGCAGCTATTATGTAGAGGAGCTGCCCTCTTCCTATGGTGCCTTGCCCCCTCCCCTGTGTGACGTCACACCAAGATGGCTGCTCCCACCAAAGAACAAACCGTTCTTCCCAGCATGCCCCTGGTCCCGCCTAGAGAGTAACCTAATACTCGCTCACCTCCTACCACCTAGTGACATCAC